TCGAGATCAGAGCGGTCTTATCATCTGTTGCAGACCTCATTGTTCTTCTTGTTAATAAAAACACTTCCTTAGGACTCGTCATGCTGCTCAGTTCATTTGAGACTTTACTGTAGCCACCACTTTTACACAGAGCTGCAGATACAACATCATTTCTTCTCCTCCTCCAGCACAAGTAACACATAAGCCACTTCCAGACAAGCGATACGTAACATCGCTGCTTCGCCGCCCTAAAAAGTGACAGCATCCTGTGATTCACACATCGGTCACTTTTACAGTAATGTTACTCAGACAAGCCCACAGCAGTGACAGAGAGAGCCAGAGCACTCGCATGATGTTTGCGAAATGTGTGACACTGAAAAGTGCATCCAAGTGAAAAAGCTATTAAACAAAAGACTTCAGCTAAGAGGAAGCTTCTCAACAGAGTCTGTTAGAATCTAATGGCAGAAGACATTGCACTTGTCTAAGCTGCAGTTATATCATTTGATCCACAGCGACCGTCCTCCAGTTGAGTCCTGAGCTCACGGATTTTATTTCACTCTAAAACTTTAATTACTCTGATTTTCTCACAGCAGGATATTTGCAGTAATGGCACTATAATAAGCATATAGAATTCCACACAATATATAGCATGTGACCTCACTAGTCATTAAACCATCCACTAAAACCAGAAGCTGTTTGCCTTTTTGTTAATATGACGCCGTGCAGTTTAAATTCGTGCACTGAAAAGGGAAATTTACACGTTTTAAGGTTGGATTTAGTACGATTTTTACAGAAAAGCAAGCAGGAATGAAGCCGACACACTCAGATGCCATCAGACAAATGGAGAATTTAGGAATAGAGAAATGACGAACCTCTGACTGACCTAAATATGGTACTGGGTGATTTTCAAGACCCAAACTGTCAGATTCCCTCATATTAAACCTTCCATAACAACTAGTTGAGTCCAGAAAACCAGAGCATATAAAATCTTGTTGACCTGAATTATGATTAATTTCAAACATGAGAGCGTTCTTGTTCCGTTATCATTTCCAAATGTATCAAACCCATGGCTATTTTGACTCGACCTAATAAACAAATCCCAGCTGAAACTAACTAAATGAACAACTTCTTCACTCCAACAACGACAACATTCAACATTGTGCTACTATTCTGAAATGTAAAACTGAATGCAATCCATAAATTCATCATAACAACAAACACAACTACAGAAATCCACCAAAACAAATAATCTAATCCACAAAATTATTGGTTTTTTTTCTCCTTAATTACAGTTTACCCTGTCAGCAGTAAACCGATGCATCGAGAAGGGCTTACCTGTTCCTCCCGGACCCCCGCTGAGTAAATCGATGTCCCAGAGGTCATCCTGAGGCGAGTTCTTGTCTTTCTTCTTCTTCTTCTTGGACGGATCATCTGGAGGCTTCAGCAGGGACAGTTCCTCTGATCTTCTGATGTCTGAGATGGAAGAGAAGAAGAAGGAGAAGGTGTGAGCGATCAGGAATGAATATGGAAGGAAGGTGAGTTTTCTGTCTAAGCTCACATAAAAAAACGACAGAAGTTGGAGTGTTAATGTACAAATCCGGAAGAGAAAAACTCACTGAGCGTTCGACAGATTTCCGACACCGCCTTGAAGACCACGCTGGAGAAGCTGACGGTCATTTTGATGGTTTTCATGTTGGGAAGCTGCAGCAGCAGAGGTTTGTGCTGCGGTGTGTAGCGCAGGTCGGCGTCGGACTGCAAAGCAAAAATCATTCAAATAAAATTAGCTTCAGATGCTAGATCAACACGTGCAAACACTATGTCTGGTTTAAGGAAACTAATTTGTGCATCATGTAGGAATGCATTTAAAATTTGTGAAATGCTGACAAAAACAGAAATAAGAAAATCAGCATCACGTTATAATGTAAGAAGCTTGTTGTTATAATAAGATATTTCACAGCTTCAAACAAGATGAACTGAAGAATAGATGAATTAATAAAGATAGTTTGGCTTCAGGGCTGCAAGGTGGGCAGTGGTTAGCACTGTTGCCTCGCAGCAAGAAGGTCGTCGGTTCGCGTCCTGGTGAGGACACCTCGGATCTTTCTGCTTGGAGTTTGCATGTTCCCCCCGTGTTCTCCAGCTTCCTCCCACAAGTCCAAAAACGTTAGCCGTTTTTCTTTCCTCAGCAATACACTGCTGTAGTCTGTACACAAAGCGTGTATCAAGTATAAAGTCAGTCTGGCACAATTTTCTTGATTTTTCAGCATGATTTTCGCCCTACGTCAGCTGGGATGGATGGATGGATGGATTTTGTTGTTACAGTCTCTTTGTTATTCAGGCTTAAACAACGCTTGACTGTATAACAGGTGTCACATGATTAATACGCCGACCAGATGGTGTCGTGGCGGCACTGAACAGGTTAATGAAAACGAGATGATTTTATTCCGCAGCTCCCTAGTGTGGCTGTGAAAAACATCTCCACACCCGAAAAAGCTGTGAGCACAAACAGAATTTATTTATCATGCTTTGACTGGAAGAAACCTTCCCATGGGAATTTCCAACTTTCTCGAAATATATATATATATTTTTTTGGGGGAAAGTTTTTGCGGCTGATTTGTATCATATTACCTGAATTCCATACTTGTCCAGGGTCCAGTGGGTCTTGAGCAGCCAGCATTTCCTCTGTTCCCACCACAGAGCGTGATCTGACCAGTCCTGAGGAGCCTCTGCAGGAACATCATCACCGTCACATCTCCATTTCAAACACGTTAATTGATTGCACACGTGTCGAGCTTAAAGGGGTCTTGAGGTGAAATTCTGTCCTCAAATATATTTCAACAACTACATCTGCTACCAACACTTGAAGTACCCACTGGTGTGTAGGCGGTGTGGTTTAATGAGTCTACCTGACATCACTGGGCTGAAAGCCGTCTGTTGATGACAAACTGCTGAGTCATTTATTATGTCTCATGCTCTTTAAGCCACCTTACTAAAGCTGCCTTCACATTAGCTGCACTGGCTCCCTCCTCTGTGTTTATGAGGGACTGTAAAGAGATATCACATCCTGGCCGAACTTCGGCCCCCGGGGCTACACAAGCCGACGCATTGTGACCAAACAATGGCGCTGCGGTGTAGAAAAATGCAGCGCAAACAAGGGTGTGGCTCCGCTAACAGAGCTGTTGTGGCAGCAGGTGGAGGCTGAGGCGCTTTAAACAGAGTTGAACGGGGTGGACGCTTTAAAGCAGGTATGCTGGATTAAGCTGAGGTTTAAATGTCGCAGTTAAGGCAGCGAAGAGCAATTCTTTCAAGTTACACACATACAGTTGCAAACAAAAGCTTACATACACGTGTAAAGACCACGTACGTCATGACAGCCTCTGTACAAAGACTCCGACGACTCGCATTCTCTATGATGGAATCACTGAAACACAGGTGTCGTCGTCACACAAACCAATCATGCATTTGGTTCCTTCATAAAGTTATGATAGATCTTCTCGACATATGGAAAAATCTGCTGGGTCAAAAATACACATACAGCAATTTGTTTCATCGTCTCTTGGCTATTTTCACCTCAATTAGGTGCTTTTTGTTTGCTGTCCACAAGCGTCTGGTTCTATCTTTGACCACTCTTCTCCGTGCAGTTCAACAAAATCTGTTGGCTTCACTCACACAGACTTGTTTCTTCATCACAGCCCATAGATCTTTGATGCCGTTTAATACAAGACTTTGGAAAGGCTATCCTAAAAAAAGCCTTAATTCTAGCCCGATTTAGCCTCTTCCTTATTATTTTTAGCATGTGTTTGGGGTCATTGTCTTGTTGGGACACACAGCTCTGCCGAGGACCAAACCTTCTGGCTGATGATTTTTAAAGTAGATTTTACTTTAACAGCCCCAGAGCATAATAATGCCACCCCCATGCCTGACGATAGGTTTGGTGTTCTTGGGGGTCAACGTGGCCCAATAACTCAATTTTTGTTCCATCTGACCACAGACTTTCCTCCAGAAGGCCCTTTTCTTTGTCCATGTGGTCAGCAGCAAACTTCAATCGAGCCTTCAGGTGCTACCTCTAGAAGACGGACTTCCTTCTTAGACGACAGCCTCTTAAGTCCATGTTGATGTAAAACCCTGTGGACAATGACAGCTGTGTTTCTGCAGTGTCTAATTTATTGCAGAGCTGCTTTTTTGTGACTCTCAACCATCCAGACCAATTTGCCTCTGAGCAGCAGGTGACAGCTTACGGTTGCTTCCTGACTGGGCTACTAACACAACCGTACCGTGCACTTTATACTTAGAATTGTTTGCACAGAGGATTTTGGGATCTGTAGCTGCCTTGAAGTGGCTCCAAGTGACTTTCCTGACTTGTTCAAGTCAGCGATTTGCTTCTTCAGATCTTTGCTGAGCTCCTCAAGACTTTCCCATTGTAGTATCAAATGGGCTCTATTGTAATTGGCTCACCCGCTGTAGTCAATCGTAATCACTCACAAGTAGTTAGGAAGACATGCCACGAAAAAAATTTGATAAACACATCTTTCTACGTCAACAAAACTGATATTTTAAGTTGTATGCTGAATGTATATTTTTGACAAAGATGCATGTGTTTCAATCATTCCATCATAGAAAATGAGGAGCTGAAGGAGTCATCTGAAATTCAAGAATGCCATGATACACATGGTCTTACGAACTTTTGGTCACGACTGTAGATGCAACAGATTTGTGTCACTTACTGATTTTCTCCACCAACTTCAGCATGAGGCCTCCGATGTGCAAATCTCCCTTCACCCTCAGCTTGAACTTCATGGACTCGTCGCCCTCTTTCTGATCGATCTGCACGGACAGCTCCCACGACGTCTCTCCATATTCTGCGGCTGTGATCATAGCCCCGCTCTGAATGAACACAAGAGGTGAGATTACAGGCGGGATGCTCGTAGGTTCAGATATCGCCGACGCGGAGAAACAACTGCCACCTCAAATTGAACGCACAACAAGGGGGGAGGAAGGGAGTTCCACTAAAAATATTCGTGTCTCAAGATCTTGTCTTTGGAACATTAGGAAACATCTGGCGTGAAAACATGACTCAGCGGATTAAGTGTTTCTCAACATCCTGATTAACTTGGCCAGAAGTTAGCAAACACACATCGCCTTCTGTTCCGAACCTTTTTTTTTTAACTCTGCTGCAGCGTACCGCAGCCCCTGAAGTCGAGCTCCTCTCAGCCAGCACATTTATAAATAAGACATCAACGGACACATAGGCAGGCGAGAAGAGATGAGGCTGCAGAACGCACAGCTCTCACAGATCTGGAGGACGATTGGCTGACTTTAATGGGACCGAATGAATGGATGAAAGACTGGAGGCATGTAAGGAAGAGGAGGCGGAGGAGGAGGAGCAGGGAGGGTACAGCTGTGGAATGTGTGACGAGCAGGGACACGAATCTGGTGCAGGAGAGCCCACAGAAAACAACCAGCTCCATACAATGCACCAATCTGCCTTCAATGAAGACAGGCCGCAAACTGGTCTAGACTGAAGCAATCATACCTGTTTCAGTCATCCCGAGAGGACAGACCAGTGGAAGCGTATAGAGTGTGAAAACTTGTAGCTGGGAGGCAAGGTTTAATGAACACTCGGCTTTCTTTGCGCTGCTGCTGCTGCTTCTCCCTCCCTGAGCTCGGAGCAGCTGTAGGGTACAGTTAAAAGTTTGCAAGCCTGCCGAGGGACAAGGCTTGTTGAGATGTGTCGGAGCACGATAACTTGACTCTGATAATATTACACGAGCTGCAAAAACACCACAAAGTGATGGAGTGGTGGAGCAGTGGTGTAATGGTCTAATGACAGAAAACACATTTAAAAAAAAACACACATTAAAGCCATGCATGAGGTGGCACCTGGGCACACTCGTCTGCCTGAACTGTACCTCAAGGCCTCTTAAATGCAAAGAACAACTTCTTTAATGTTTGGGGGTAAATGTGAGGGACTGTAGTGTTCCTCCTTTATTGATGCTTTTAAGAGAAATCTCAATGTGTGTTTATTGGCTTTTGGCTGCCCTTAGTAGTAATAGTTTTATTTATTTTACTTTAGAATTTGATCTTACAAGTTGTCATGTTTCATCATTTGATGTTATTTTTAATTTTACAAATTTTAACCTTGTTTTTTTATTGATTCAGTTTTACAGCTTGATTTTTAAAAGTTATTTTCCTGATTTCTGTTTTGCTTTTTAAAGGATTTTTATTTTATTTTAAAAACTGGTTTTATAAGTTTAATCCTGTCCTTCCCTGCTGTTTAGTAGTTTATATTTATTTTGTTTTGCAACTTACATTTTATTTGTGGTTATCCCGTGCACTTTGGTCAACTCTGATTGTCCTGAAACTTACTAGAAATAAATAACCCAGATTTAAAAAAACGAATATATTGCCTTATAAAAAATATGCAATCATTTTAAAATCTTATAGAGATTTTAACCCCTCAAATAATAATAAAACACACACACTGTACAGCACACCTACAGCCTCAAACAGAGACAATACCCAGAAGAAACATGCAGAACTTCTTATTGTTAAAATGATTCATACTGAGGAAAAAACCACTCGTGGCAAACTTTCTTTAGAGCCACAAACAGCAGCTACTGTGGGAATAATATAAGAACAAAGCTATAGACATTAACCATTAACTTTCCTGTGTAGGCCTCAGACTGTCCTCAACTGGATAAATCACGATCATGTGCTTTTGTTTCTCGTCTGGTGATATAAATCTTGGTTTAATCAAACTGAGCTGGACATTAGCTGATAAAACTAACCGTGGAGGTGAGGAATGTGGAACCAGTCTTACCTTGAGTCACAGTTCTGGGCCGGTGAGCTGTTCCTGGGTATTTCTCGTGGACTAGACTGAAGCAGGAGTGAAGGTCCTTCGCGAGGAAAACACGCCCCGTCCACAGTGCAGGTAGACGGGAGGAGAAACAGGAGGAGTCGGTAGGAGACGGAGTAACGGTGCCCGAGCAGGTGAGTCTGTCCGCAACCCAGACACAGCGAGGAGGTTACAGCTGGTCAAACAAAGACACGCAGACGGTTTGCTAAGCTATGGAGCTTGTCTGTAGTCGTTAGCTTCATAATTAGCTTAATGCTAACTAATGGGCTACTCATTTATTCATCAAGAAAACACTTCCCTTACACCTGAGTTAGCTCTGATAAGTGATGTGAACAAAAGCCCAGCACAGCAAAAACGATTTATAATGATGTGTAATTTAGTTAATTTAAATTTCCCTGGCTAGTAAGTTGCACTGGTTAAATAAAGTTATACAAATGACCAGTTAAATTACAACGGGTCAACGTTAGCATCATGTGTAGCGCCAAAATTAGCATACCCAACCGTAATGCTAACTAATAGGCTACTCATTGAATCATCAAGATGACACCTGAGTTAGCTTGGATAAGTTTCTTGAACAGTAGCCCAGCACTGCAAAAAACGATGTACAATGATGTGATTTTAATTGAAAAAAAAAAGTGATTAAGGTACAACTATCTACATAAAGTTACGCAAATAACTAGCTACTATAGAGCTTGACTATAGCTGTTAGCCTCATAAGTAGCCCCAAAATTAGCACACCCAACCCTAATGCTAACTAATAAGCTGCTAATTTTATCATCAACATAGCACTTCCTTAACACCTGAGTTAGCTCAAGCAGGTGAAGTGTTGTGTTGTGATGTGGTGTAATGTATTTGATCAAATTTTCCCTGGCTGGTAAGTTACAACTGGTTAAATAAAGTTATGCAGATGACTACAGAGCTTCACCATTGCCCTCATGAGTAGCCCCCAAATTAGCAAACATAATGTAAATGCTAATAGGTTACTCATTTTATCCTCAACACATTAGTTAGCTTGTGCAGGTGAGATGAACAGAAGATCACCTCAGAAAAAGCAATTTCTTACAGTATGGTGTATTTATTTGACCAAATTTGACCATTTTTAGTAAATCGCAACCAGTTTAATGAGGTTATGCAAGCAAAGGTACATAGCTTGACTGTAGCTGTTAGCCTCATGGGTAGCCCTAAAATTAGCATACTCAATGTAAATGGTAACTACTAACTAATCATTTTACTGTTAACTGAACACTGTCTTAACACCTGAAGTAGGTGAAGTGAACAGCAGCTCAGCATAGCAATGACTGTTTTTATTATTATTACTTTAAGCAGTCTTGGGTTTCCAATGAGTCCTTTAACTCTCAGTTTTCTAGGAACGAATGTTTGAAGCACATGCGTCTTTGTCACAAGAAACAATGATGCACTTTGGTTCCTTCATAGATTTAGTATGGGTCTTTTGGAACCAGAACAAAATCTGCTGGGTAAAAAGTATACATACAACAATTCTGATATTCGGTTAAATGTCTTTGACCATCTCTATACACCGCTTAATCCTCGTTAGGGTCGCAGAGGGGCTGGAGTCTATCCCAGCCGGCTTAGGGTGAAGGCAGGAGACACCCTGGACAGGTAACCAGTCTATCACAGGACTACAGGTAGAGACAGACAACCAAGCACACTCACATTCACACCTATGGACAATTTAGAATCACCAGTTAACCTCAACATGTTTTTGGACCTTGAGGGAGGAAGCTGGAGAACCCGGAGAGAACCCACGCTGCACGGGGAGAACATGCAGTGTACCGGATGTCCTCACCAGGATGCGAACCGAAAACAGCCCACAGCATAATACTGCCACCAAAATAGCTAAGTTTTTGTTTCATCTGACCACAAAACATTTCTGCAGAATGCTTTTTGGTTGTCCATGTAATCAGCAGCAAACTTCACTCGAGCTTTAAGGTGCTCCCTCTAGAGGACGGCCTTCTTTCTGCCCATGTTGATATAAAACACGCCTGATTGTAGACACTTACAGCTGTGTTCCAGCCGCTCTAATTCATTGCAGACCTGCTTTTTATTGATTCCTGGTTGACTCATGACCATCCTGACTAATTGTCTCTCAGCAGCAGGTGATAGCTTATGTTTACTTCCTGATTGTGGCAGTGACACAACCGTACCGTGCACTTTACACCTGGAGTTGTTTGCACAGGTGATTTTGGGATCTGTAGCTGCCTTGAAATGACTCCAAGTGACTTTCCTGACTTGTTCAAGTCAGTGATTTGCTTCTTCAGATCTTGGCTGAGCCCATCAGAGTTTCCCATTGTAGTATCAAACGGACTGTATTAAAATGGGCTCAGAGAATCAACAGTTATAGTCAATTGAATTTACTCATGAGAAGTTCTACGGCCATGGTACTAAAAAAATATGATTAATACAACTCTAATCCTGCATCTCCAAACTCATAATTTAAGGTGTTGTATGAATATTTTTACCCAGAGGACTAAAATACGTGTATTAAAGAATCAAAGTACATCATTGTTTTTAGGGACAAAGACACATGATTCAGTGACTCCATCCTAAAAAAATCTGAGTTATAGAAGTCATTGGAAACTCGAAGACTGTATAACCAGTTTAACAGTAAGCTTTTTATGTAACCCTCACTTGATTTAAACCTGTAATGGTTCCTAAAGTTATGCTTTTTTTCATTTGTTCATAAAGATCATAAAATGTATAAAGCAGATCTCAAGATCGAGAGATGCCGTATAAATTCTTGGCCCTTATCAGGTGTGGCTTTAAAGGACAATGATCAGATACTGTGACCAGTTCAAAGTCACTCCTTTGACTTCAATAACCCACCTTCAAATGCAGCTTTATTCAAATGACCCGATGCCACAGACGACAACACACAGAGTAGAACAGGTTGTTGGCGTGCCGTATGCTGGCAAGTCGGTCACTCACCATTTGTCGTCTAAGCAATCATTTCAAACAGCTCCTTAATGGACGTGCCTGATGACGGGATCCCATCTCCTAAAATTTCTGCCCAAGCCCTTCAGGAGGACTGGGACAGCATTCCACAGGCATGGGCAGCCTCATTAACTCTATGCATCGCAGATGGTGGACACTCTCTTTACTGCCTCGGGGTTTCTGGTCCATTACTCCGCTCTCAATCTGTGCTTTATCATTTCCAATATACTTGGTTGTTCAACTTAACTTAGATGTTATTAGTTAGCAATAATGTTGAGTATGATACAGAGCTTATCTGTTGGCCTCATGGCCCAAAATTAGCAGAAACGTTTAGCAGCAGATCAATATAATCAACGTTAATGCCAACGAATACTGTTTTTATCATGGTAAATGCAACATAACAAATCCTTGTTCTCACCTAAATTAGCTCAAGCAGGTGACCAGCACCTCAGCACAGCAAATGAGGTTATTATATAAAATTCATTTTACTTGACCTTTTGCTGACTGAATTTATCCTGACATGAAAAGGTTCCACGAGTACATTTAAAGAGATTTCTTCCCCAAAGAAAAGACACCAAAGAGGACAGGAGAGTAAATCATGATTCTGTGTGTCCTGACTCAGCGGAGTGATATTGACAAAAGTTAATATACAGAAAAGTACATAATTGAAAGCAATGCAGAATTCTAGAAAGCCTTCCTGCATTGTCCTTCTGTTTATTTTGAATTGTCACCTTTGTGTTTTCCTTTACATAGAGACATTTCCATTATACACTGATGCAAAAAAAGTACAATTACGGAGCATAAAAATTCACCAGAATGCACGAAGTTATGTATTTGACACACAACAGTTGGTGAGCTTAGACAACCAGTCTGTAATGTACTTGCCCCCTCCTGTGGCTAACCGCTGATTATTGCACTAATAGCAGACCGCACTTACTTCTGAACGCAGCATTCATCTATTATCCCAACAGAAGTTACAGCACATAAAGATGCAGCCAGTGGCGGAGATGTAGATGTTTTACAAGTTCTGTTTTTTATGGACAAAACAAATGTAGAACGAATAAAATATGATATTTTGCTATAAACTGATGTACCCAGCAGTTTATGCATGTAGGGCTGATTAATTAATCAGTCATTTGGCAAAAAAAATTAACCACTATTTTGATAGCTGTTCAGAGCACTTGTAATGGCATTTCTCACTATTTTTATTTTTTTTAACATTTTTTTTTAGAATTTTGACAAACCAAACAACCTGTTGATTAATGAAGAACATAATCAGTTGCAGTCCTACACAAAATAGCTTATGATGAGCTCCACCTCACCCCTTTATCACAGTAACTTCCTGCTTTTCAATCAGTTCATGGGTAAAACTAATGTAATGATAAAATATATAATTGGATAATTGTGACGGGACATTTCACTGCACTGGCTGCTTTTACTTTTAAAACTTACTGTACAAGTTTCATGATAATACTAACATACTTTGACTTCAGTCACATGCAGGAGTTTTACTTGTAACAAATGATTTTTACTGTGCGGTATTCATATTTTTACTTGCGTAAAGGATGTAAATCCATCAGCAGTCTGTATAATGGTCTCTGTGGCACTGGAGCTTTCTAAAGTGCAAAAAAAGATAAGGAGTGTATTTTATTGAGCTTGACCCAAACAAGGGAACAAACTGCAGTACTGTGTGTCTACAATACTCCCTTAAGAAGTTCCCAAACTAAATTATACATAGAGCAAACAACAACAACCCTAAAGCAAGACAAAGTTGCTCTGTATCCCCTAACACAAAGTTAAAAAAAAGTTTTAATCTGATGTCGACCTGGTTAAACGAACTTAAAGTACAAAAAAAAAAAAAACAAGTACAGGAGGGTATTGAGTTCACCTACTTTTAAAGGCGGTGTAGTTAATGTGAAGATATGATATCAGGGTTAGGGCTCCTCTTTAAGTGGATTTAAAGAGCCAGACCTACAACATGATGGATAATGATTTACCTCCAAAGAATCAACCCACCTTCCCACATTCTGCTCAATGAGTAAATCAAGATGAATCACTCGAGCTTGTTTTTTTTCTCCACATAAT